CGTTATTTATTTTCGGAATTAAGTAATTAAGTTCAGTCGGGATTACCAAAATAATTTTGGTAATTAAGCATTATGTTTAATTAAGAAATTAAACATCTTTTAGTAATTAATATCATAACTTAAGAGTATTTTCAAAACTCTTCCAACTAAAGTCGTAAGTTCATTCTTGTAAGGGAATCCAATTTTTCTTTCATATATGAGCATGAGACGTGGCAAATGAAGAGTAGCTTAGTCATCTTAATTGTCTTCAAAGTTGTGACACTTGGAAAATGAGGAGAAAGCCACGATACCAATTCATTTCCCTCTCTTGACCGTGTATATTAGTAGATGTTGGGGGCGAAAAAAAATTCTCCACTTCCTAGAAGCCATCTTCAGCATATCATTCCTTCGTCCAGCAGCCACTTATATTAGGTAAATTCCCTTAAATTTCTATAACTTTCCATCAATCATTGCACGGCAAAGAGGAGAATCAATCACCCGGCTAGTGAAGGTACCGCTCGGCCACGCAAGGGAAAAGGAAGCACGCTTATTTTCAGTTTGGACGAACAACTAATAAGGTATCATCTTCTTCATATTAGAATCAGGTTGATGAGGTGGTATTTAGAGGAATTGTTCGATTTATTTTCGAGAATTCTAAGCAGAGTCAGGCTTAGAGCCGTGCCTTTGTCCATTCTTGTCAAAAATATGATCGAAGTCGAGTTATGTTTAATTTGTTCCGGCAGGACCCGAACATTTACTACTGGTATAGTCTTTATTAGATGATTCATGTTCAGTTTAGTCAAATTGATGCTCCATTCGATCAGATTGCTAAGTAAATACGAAGGAAAGCCGATGAAACGGCCCCAGCCGACGCCGCGCCTATCGCGTAGGGCCTCGAGTAGCTGCGGACCGAGGCTTGATAATTCAGTACTAATCATGTTCTTCAGTATAGTTAGGTCTGTAACTGTTTCAGTATTGAGATCATGTTATGCGGTTCGATAGCTGTCGGCTAATATGTTAGTCCGGCTAAGTGACGGCGTGTGGCCGTTGGCAGCGCACGGGCGCTCGCCGCGGCCAGCGCACGTGCGATATATGTTCGTTGAACCTTCAGGTCTCGTTTGATAAGTCTATTCATGTAATATTCAGTAAAGTATATTGGTCGAGTCACTTACGGTTTACTCGAATTTAGACCAAAGGCCGAAGGCCGCGCATTTAGCGAGTGTGCCATGGTCGGGTGTAAAGGTCATAGAATTACATTCATTCCTTTCATGTTAAAAATTCAGTTGTTGCTCTTGTATAGTCAGAACATGTTGTTTCAAGTCAGTTCGGTCGGAGGTATTGCCGGACGGGCGGCACGGAGTCGACCGTGGCCGTGCTGCC